TGATAGTGTGCATAAATATAGTGTGATAGACACTCTTTAATTTGAATATCGAACTTGATCCAAAAAGGTTTCATATATATGCACTTCTAAGAACTTTTTGATTCACCCTCGTACATCTGCTTCATGAGTAAGAAGTGTTAAGAGGAGATACACTGTTTAGAAAATCTACAGTAAATCATATTGGTGTCATAAAAATTTAAAATGAAACCTATTACACACTGTGTCTTGTTTTATTACTTGAAAAAATCTTCTAGGCCTCCAATTTGGGATTTTCTTTATATGTTCATAATTTTATTTCAAAAGAACTTAATATACCTAGAATAATTAGATGGTTAACTTTTTTAATTGGCTGAATTGGAGACTTCTTAACTTTGTAATTTACGTTCATGTTCATGAGAACTTAAATTTACAAAAGCCTTGCTACTTTTTCGTGAAAAAAGCCTAATGTGAGTTTTTATGTAGGAAGACATTATTTATCGGATGAAATTTGATGAGTACCTAGTAGAAAAAAATAAGCAATTATTAAACAAAAAGATAATAACTAATCTTTTCTAAAAAAAAATAATAAGAATAAACAATAAGATTTTTTTTACACTTGCAACACCTGTTTGGCCGTTGTGTCAATTGACATTTGAAAACAATGCAGTGGGATCTATTTTTTTGAAAAACAAAGTTTAGTTATTTCTTGTATAATTGTCATAATATGTAATATATTGAGAGTAATTTAGTTAAAATTGATACCTAAAGTTTAATTACAATGTGTTCTTCGTACTATTTATTGTAGTAATACCTTTATTCTTAGTGTGTATAACCGATCTCAAGATGACCACTCAAGACGTTAAATGGATAGAAAAACTTCGAATAGAAAATTTGGATCAATACTTTACTTTAGTGCGGATGCATCTATCGTTCGTTGTTGATATAAATACTGACGAGTGAGTTGAAATAAATATTTCACTGCAACGATCGGCCATTACTGCTTAAAACAATTTCTTTCCATTAAACTACTATAAATATGTTTTTATAAAAAGCAACTACAAGATTTTTTATAAACATAATTTATTACCTATTTAAAATGACCTTGTCTTAACATAAGTCAAACAAAGCAATATACTGGCCATTTAACTCTTAAGTAACAAAAAAAAAGAAAAGATAAATTAGTCAATCTTAAAGGTATGTTTTTAAATTTCAGTGTTGATTGTTCAACTGATAAACCAAAGCAATTCCGATGGAATTTCCACAAGAAGACTAAAAATAGCACATCAAATTCTAGTCAAAGCATCTCAAATACTACAAAGAATAATTTAGAAGCTAATTCTATTACTGAAGAAGGTATCTTAAGATTAAACGAGTTGATAGACTTTCTAGCAAAATCTGAAAGTAAGTTGGTCATTTTTTTTTAAATGATTCTTAACACATTTTCATAGTGCAATCCATTTATAGATAGCATAGAGCATCGGTGTTTCAGTGGTTTAAGCACTTGACTTGTAATCTACAGGTCTTGGGTTCGAATCCCGCCATGTACCAATGTGATTTTCGATTTTTCGAATTTTCATATGTACATAATTTACCCAATGTTCTTACGGTGAAGGAAAACATTGTGATGCAACCTGCACATATCGGCGAAGAAATTCAAAGATATGTGTGAAGTCAACCAACCCGCACTTGGCCAGCGTGGTTGACTATGGCCTAGTCACCCCGTATAGGGTAGGCTCCGAGCCCCTTGGTGGGGACATATAGTGAGCTGGTGATGATGATCCATTTCTATGTGTAACAGTTGTTTCACTAGTTCAGCAAATCAGACTGCTCATTTGCTACCATATGTTCAAAAAAATAGTAACAAAAATATTATATTCTTAAACTGTGGTGTATGACATAAAAAGACATACATAAGCCTAAGATGTATAAAACTCATTGATATTCCACAAATAAATATGGTACTACTATAAACTCTTAATTTCATGTGTTTCAATTCTTAATACCTTTATTTTATATTATCATTCTCATACTGTAAGAATTGACATTATACTAATGTTTATGTTGAAAGTTTAGATGGATGGATGGATGTTTATTAGAGTTTGTAGCCTAAACAGCTAAACAGATTGCAATGAAATTTGGCATACATGTAAAGTATAGTCTGGAAGAACAGATAGGCTAGTTAGTTTTTTTTCTAAATTTCACATGGAAGGAGTTGTGGGCGAAAGCTAGTCGTTTCATCTTTGTCATTACTTAAATTATCTTTTATGTGTTTTCAGATGTAACACAAGAAGGTATTTTCCGGAGAACAGGATCATTAAGTCGACAACAAGAGTTGCGTCAGCTTTTAGTAACAGGGTCCAATTTAGGGCTTGAAGATGGCAAGTTCTCAGTTCATGATTGTGCTTCAGTTCTTAAGGGGTTCTTAGCGGAATTACCACAGCCTTTACTAATGGATCAGTATTACCAAACTTATTGTACTTTAGCAGGTGAGAAATTCTTTATCAACTAAAGTTCAGAAGCGAAAATTAATTAAAAACGGCTCAACTCACGCTTTTATCTTCTGGTGACGGCACCGACTAGTTTCGGACCCTTCGGGGATCCTTCTTCAGGGCGAGTATTGTTTAACTTTTGTTCGCGGTCACGTCGCGCCTCGCACTCAGTGCCAGTTAAAACTCGCCCTGAAGAAGGATCCCCGCCAACATTCTTATTGCTGTGATAATAATTGTTAGAAAAAATTTAAAAAAAAAACAGAAAGGACGCATCTCTTTATTTCCATCGTATTTTAGACATCTAATTTGTTAAACTGCGTATAGTCGAATTTAACACAAATAATATTTAAATTGAATAATACTCGCCCTGAAGAAGGATCCCCGAAGGGTCCGAAACTAGTCGGTGCCGTCACTATTACATTGTTTACACAACACTACTATTATACTATTATTGCTTCTACCATTGTTAAAATTGATTCGATTATTACAATTTCTTATTTGTGTTAAATTCGACTATACGCAGTTTAACAAATTAAATGTCTAAAATACGATGGAAATAAAGAGATGCTTCTTTTTTTTTTTTAATTTTTTCTGACAATTATTATCACAGCTAAAATAACATTGGTGAAATTGCTCCATCCGTTCCCCTTAAATCAAGGGAAAAAGATATTTTTATATAGCGAGAACAAAATAAGGCTTTTAAGGTGCGTCTGCTAGACACATAGAAATGGCAGACGCAACCTGAGACTGGTATTGTTAGTATCAGAGATATTGATATGGATAATAATGGCCTGTCGTTCGACATGGCCGGCCCTTTGTGCTGCCCGTCAGTCGGGGTGGCTGCAACTCCAATTACAACAATATTCAATTACATTACATTCGGCTCTGAGCTTTGTTGATACCAATTTGTAATAGGGATTAATAGCTATTCATTAACAGTAATGTTACAAAGAGAAAATTACGTTTAATTACAACCTTTAAGTACGAAGCAATTTTATCCTATTAAATTTTTGTTACTAATATTATAAATGCGAAAGTTTACATGAGTGGATGGAAAATTTGTTAGAGTTTGTAGCCCAAACGGCTGATCGGATCTGGATGAATTTTGGCATAGATGTAAATGATAGTCTGGAAAACACATAGGTTACTCAAGTTTGTTGGTTTTTTAATTCCACGGACGGAGTCACGGGCGAAAGCTAGTACACTAATGTTTCTTGTACCAATACAACTAAGCTCTAGGCTTGTGTTAAGATATGGTTTACGACAAGAAATAGTTATTGATATTTTACACCATTATCTTGTTATTGTAATTGTCCTAAACAACACTAGAACTTTACAGAGTTAAATTAAAAATAAATTGCATTTTTGATAATGTTTTTAAACTTTACACTTTTATTTAAAAAAAATATTTATCTGGTCTAATAATCTAGTTTTACATTTAAAGCGGGCGCACATCTTTGATTAACTATCGCACATCTGTTGCGCGATTGTCGACTGTTTCGCAGCCATTCTTCCTTTCGACCTTCATATCTAACTAATATTATAAATGCGAAAGTTTAGATGGATGGATGGATGTTTGTTAGAGTTTGTAGCCTAATCGGCTGAACGGATCTGGATGAAATTTGGCATAGTTGTAGAGGATAGTCTGGAAGAACACATAGGCTACTTTCTTTTGTTTTTTTTAATATCACGCGAACGGAGTCGCGACAGCTAGTAATTTCATAAAAATCAAAGCGCGACTAAACAGTTGTGCGAGTGTTTAGTCGAAGGTGTGCGCGCGTTCTTACTGTTACAACATTTAGGTTTTAACAAAGGTCATAATCTACCTAAACCATCTACACCGTATCAATGTTTTTAAACGTTGCAAACTATGCGAGATTTAATATTCTGCGGAAGTCAACCGTGACTGGAGCGATACCAATATTTAAATCAACCTGTCACTCGTGGTTCCGAACCATTTAGCAATTAGGCCTACACGAAAAAATAAACGTGGAACAAACACTGCGGTTAATTTTCGCTTCATTTTAATATTTCCATACATTTTAATTCAGTTTAGGTTTTGCGAGTATGCTACAGGCTAAAACAAGCCGTTCACTGGCAACTTCGTCTAACTTGTAGGTTTTACGGACAGGTTTATTAAAACGTCGCCTAAAGGCTTGCAGCGTGAGTTGGCCGGTGTAATTACACGTGACTTTTTGCAACTGACAGGATGTCGGTAACTACATTATCTGGGAGGGTTGCGAGCTAACGTGGTTATGCAAATTAATGATCCCAGAGCGTTGCATTTTGGACTAGAAAGTTTTACTGAGATTTTTGCTTGTCGTCAACATTTACTTAACCAAAGTTTAATTTAAGTTCTAACTACTTTGCGATTTTCAACAATAAAGAATTAACCATAATCTTACTAATATTATAAATGCGAAAGTTTAGATGGATGGATGGATGGATGCATGGATGTTTGTTAACATTTGTAACCTAAACGGCTGAACGGATATCCATGAAATTTGGCACAGGTGTAGAGCATAGTCTGAAAGAACACATAGGCTACTTTTTATCCCGTGAATAGTAACGGTTCCCATGGGATTCATTAATTTAGTTTTTTAATGTTTACTCGATCATACTGCGACGGTTCAACATATCTTATTGAAATTTGGCACAGATATAAAACAAAGTCTGGAGTACACATGGGATAAAGTTCATCCCCGAGAAACGACCGGTTCCTGAGGGATACGTAGATATTTGTTATTTACATAGTTCGTATGTTTTCTAATACCACGAGGACGAAGTCGTGGGCAACAGCTCGTTTACAATAAAAATAAATCTATCTGTACTAACCTTATTGTCTTAATCTTTTATTTTGTTATTACTTTATTTACTCAACGGCTTTTTTTTTAGTAATTACATGTTATATTTTCTCCCAATATACCCATGGTATTGTCATTAACATGTATAACATATAAACGTTAATTCTCTTTATATTACTTAATTTATTTAGTTTATAAACTTAAAAGCACCGAGTGAAACTTTTATAACCTTGAATCTAAGTTTTAGATGTCAAATCTAACCTATCTCAAAGGGCCCGACTACGGCAGTAGGTCAGCACGGCGGCTATCGATTTACGACCCTTATACCTTTCTATTTGTACATCGGAAATCACCCTTGCGTCTGTCAGCCCCTCTTTATGCACGATGAATGCGTTTTAAATCACGTTTCGGGACATCCGTTTGATGTTTGTAATATAACGCATGGTAATAGTTTAGTTTAATAACAATGATTATTAACATTTTCAAATACAAAGTAGTTAAATGTAATCTACCTTTTAAAACGCCTTATAATACTGTATAGTGTAAAGTTCTACCATTAAAAAGCTTTGTGTTACAAATATATTTTTAGGTTATATACCAACCCTTTTATATTGATTGTATTTGACAAATCGAGGCTATTAAACATTATTAATCATACTACAAAAGCTCACTTTTAACTAAAGAGTAAAACAGTTGTGTTTTAATTGATTGTAAAGTTATTTTGCGCAATAAATAATACAATAGTTACACTGAAAGTAGTAATGAGAAACTTATAACCACTTTGATGTTAATAATATCAAATAGTGAGTTAAAACACTTGTTTAACTAATCAGTGTTTAATTGTATTTTTGTAATAGGTGCAAAAAGTCTTTGCAGTGTTTCCGAATTTTAACAATGACTTAACTCTTAATTTAATAATGTCCAGTGTAACAAACAACTTAAAAAAAATCTATTTCATTCGTATCATCACATTTATATTTGATATCCAAGAATATGACTATAAAAAGTATATACATTTTCACTACAAATACTCCCTTGAATTAGAGGTTTGTAAAAAGTTGTAATTAGAATAAATAACGAGCTTTCCTTTATTTTACTCTACAAATGATTACACCATCAAAATAAAAACTCTTCCATCTATTCGTTTTTCATTTACAGTTAGATTGCGAAAGGGCAAAAAAAGAAACAAAAACTATTTCATCAATTACGTCACGGCAATCATCTTTGGGATAATAAGCTTTTTGAAGTTATAATCAGGGCTGGGGATGAATCGCGCCCTATCGTAGCGATCGTAGCAGTGTCGTAGCAGCAGGCGGGCGGCCGTCCAGATTAAAGTTCTCATTAACTGACCCTCGCACTTCATTCCCGCTAAAACGTGCAAAGCGAAATTGAAAGTTTCTAGTGTAAAAAACTTTAGGGAGAATATTTACGAGCATGTTGTTTGGGATTTAGGATAAACAAAATTGTGGCGTAGAATTAATAAAAAAAATAATTTGATTCTTATAATTACTAAATAACATAATATTAAGCATCCCCAACAATGGCATAGTAAAATAAAGCAGCTAATTACCAGCTCATTAGGGGCTATTGAGTCTTGAAGCCTACTTGCCTAAGTTAGGGATTACTAGGCCTAGATTGTTATCATATACGGGATGTTAAACACATCATTTTACGAACAGTAATCAAATACAATTATTAACTTACATACCAAAACATCCTGTATTACACCAAAAAAAAATTTAGACAGTGTTAAGTTGAACACGTTCAATAATTCTGACCGCCGGCGTCGTTGATTGTCACTTTGTTTATCAACGTGGTTACAAGTTTCAAAATAAATATATATTCACTGCTTCATTTTTAACTACTTTATTGTTTTTGGTCAGCCATGGAATAATAATATTCCAATAATCAAAATTTGTAAAAAATCCGCGCCAAAAGCTATCCACGGTATAAAAGTGTTGACGTATGTTTAGGATAAAATATCTTTTAAACGATAAGATTTCATGGTCTTTAAGTTTTTATGTAAAATGTATTCTACCACTTTAAAAAGTTAGCGGCAATAGCCACTTGAATACAGCACTTGTTACTGTCGAAAGATTTTTTTTATATAGAATGAGGTGGTAAACGAGCAAGCGGCCAAAAAGGCGAAGACACTTCATGCCTGTCTTCTGTGTGGTCGTGGTATTGCACCGGGAGACCCGACGCATTCGTGCGAA